ATTAAACTGATTGTACCAAATGTGGGGAAAATCAATGAGTTTATTAACACAAAGCTGGAGCCAGCGTGTCGTGACGATCAAGCACTTTAAACAATTTCAATTTTTCAATAATGCGAGGAAGTGTGTTGACATATTTTTAAAAACTAAAATAACGGATATAATAAATCAATTTCAGATGTTTAATGTGTATAACTTTGTAAACGGTTCTCTGGTTAGTGGATATACATTAAATATTTTGATTTCGTTTCCGCGATTGCTCTCACCTGTAGCCAGAAATGCAAATCGTTCGTCCGTGAAACTCAGAGCGGAACGAGTTCAGTAAATGCGGTAAAGTCGTTCGTTGTTCCGACGGAGCCCTGTCCTTTCCCGAAAACATTTCGTTTTCCATCTAAAGCATTAAACATTAAACAACTCTAGTGTATATAACACTTACGCCATATAAATAACAGAAATCTCACACACATTTGAGATAACCTTTAAACCCCTAATAATGCACATTTTGGGTAGAGTGCGTCCTCTGATGACGAATCTTTTCTATGACTTAAATATGTGCCGTCTAAATCGTGGATATATTTTCGATCTGTAGTCTTCCAGCAACAAAGATTATGCTTTGCGGAGGTTTAACTATACTCTAGAAGACGACGAACGATTGCACCATCAAAGTGGTCGATTTTAAAGACATTACTCTCACCAAAATACTTCATTGTGACGTCACATTAGCGCTCCGTCACTGGAGGGCGCGACGTCTAGGAACGGTATACTAGTATTGTTTTTGACACCACCTTACCCCTGGGAATAAATATGTAGCACAAAACTAAGCGAAAGAAAACAAATAATTGTTATAGTTTCTTCAGCATCCCTCAACAGTTTTAATGTTCAATCCCTAAAAACGAATCGTCCGCCGCAATGTTTTAGGCATGGCTTAGCCATTTCTCCATCCTCGAATTCATTTTCATAACCACTGAACACTCTAGTACGGGCAAGGACAACCATAAAATGTTATCAAAGGGCTTACATTTTATCTATAGTCCTTGATATCATAATCTAACTATAATCCATTTTAATTTTATACAGATTTTATAACGCTTTTGAGCCTTGCTATCTAAAATCAATATTTAAAGTGGGATTGAAATATCGTGTGGCAGGCGACAGTTTTTATCGTCTCCATGGTTAAGTTTCCGCCAAAGCAAATTTGCTGAAATCACTGAAGGCTGAAACATTTCGTGTATTCGTCTTACGGCGATATGCGAGGCTTACTTTACTTTGCTTGTAGAATATTCAACAACCTGGCACTACGGAGTGTTTGTAGATATGGACATGTTCACGTGACTCACAAGGGAAAAGAGCGCCATTCATGAGTATGCCCCTTATCTGCATACCTTCACTGTGACCTCCACCATCCATGCCGTACAATGTATATCAATTTGCATATTTTTGTGCATAACCTCGGTGAAGTCATGTGGTTAAAACAAATTACGAAAGTAAAACGATTGAACAATTGGGTTCTTAAAAATGGTTATTTTGACTGTCGGGCAACTAATACAATACCATTGGTTTCCATTTAATTGTTAAATGCCCATATTCACGAGGCAGCCCACACAATGCATTTCTATGTTAGCTCTTACTGCTCAGGCAATTCTGATTGGGGGGGGGGTTCCTATTACCAAATTTGGATTCACGTGTATTGAAGTTGAAGCTCCCAGTTTTTCGTGTATGTTTTGTGTTCATTTAAATCAGAACCAAATCTTCGATTCCATTATTTTCACCATATTACCTTGACATCACGCGTCGAGTTCGTGTCTTCTACTTTTCCGCCTGATGGTTCAAAACCATCAAATCAATCGCGCTGTCAAAATTCGTAAGACCATATATACTGTCGTCCAACGCAACACGTGACCTAAATAAACACCCACACACATTGCTGTCCTAACTAACGAATATGCTCTCTCAAATCTCAGACTGATCGACATCATCTTGACAATTGTAGCGCAGGATTCGTATCATGCAAAGCATGACGGGAGATTGATTTAAATAGGCTACTAACATGAACTGAGTATCCCAGAGGAGAACTTTCCGTGATTGGTCTAATCCCAAAGAAACTATTACACAAATCATATCAGAAACCGACAAATCCCTGCTATTTTTTACAAAATGATCTCTCCGACCCCCTTACTACCAGAGAAATACGTGAATTGAAACATAAGCGGCTCTTTGGTCCCACAACACTCGACCCCGCAACCTCAGAGACCGGATTAACAGCATCAGCCACAGTAGATAAAGAAACATATTTGGCTAAGCTGCGAAACTCACCTGAGGGACTATCTCAGTAGCGTCTTCATTTAGTTTGCGCAAGGAAACAAGGGAGTAATAAACTTGAATCTTGGTAACTTAAGTTTCGGATAGCTGTTTCTTTTTGTACATGTTTTTTTTTTATTTAATCCCCATCATCGCACACTTGAACATAGAATAATTATACTGTTCTAGTTATTATGATCGTTCGGTTTCAATACGGGTGACTCACATACCGTGCATTACGTGTTATGAAAACATGGAAATAACTGTAATGAATGAATGAATGAATGAAAAATGGTAGAATAAATAAATAAAATATAATAATGAACCAATCAACCAACCAACCAACCAAAGTAAAGAATCAAAAGTAAACCAACGAAACGAAATAAATAATAATACAAAAGTCATCGGACTTGAAAATACTTCTGTATTTCTAGAGGGAATTAATTTGCGCTAAAATAGCATCTGGGTTGTTTTGTATGACTCTTATTTTCACTGAATTTTGAGGAGTTGAATGTTAAATTATATATAAACAAGTTATTTTCACTGCATTTTATTTTCACTTAGTCATCCCTTAAGCAAAAATAACGTACTTCACAGCAAATGATAATTGCTACTAGTCATTAACATGAATGCTGTTATTGTGGGAGCAAATTACAAAAAAACGCCTAGTCGTTTTTCTCCGGTGACAAGTTAGCGCTAATTCGACATTAAAATGTAAACTCACGCGGCAAATTTGTCACGGAGAAACAGTCACGTGCAATCGAGCGAAGAAGGGCATGTTTAAAGTGGATTAAAGCAAAATGACAGGATTACTCAAACATTCACGACAGAAACGGTGACTAATTGGTACTATCTATTAATTATTTACTATGAACGATTTAAATTGGAAACGAATGGCAAATAAAATCAATTATTTACTCAAAGGAAACTCTGAGATTGGACGCTGGTAAAGAGTACATCCGCCGATCATTTAACGTAACCAGTCGCGTAATGGTTGTTAAGTTTGATTGGACAATCCGTGCCTCGTGACCTCATGAAAATCAGACCATGTTCATGTATACTTGTATATCTATTGTGCGACGAAATTACGGCCCACGGTTCGCCGTGGCTTCACTCATTCATAATCGCAATCATAGTACTACAGTGTTAACATATTGTTAGATGTGTTGCTCTCTACAACATGCATTTTTGCATTACTTGTTTTATAGTCTATGTCAGATTCCCGCAAATCACAAACATATTGTGTTTGGTTTTTAGAAAAAAACACATTTGTTTAACATGGTAAATTCAATTGAACCACGAGGACAGTTGCACGTATAACATACATTCACTGATGTGACCAACAATACAATTAGCTGTATTTTAACCGACTAACAATATCAAATTCAATATATCTTTCACAAAATTACCCAATTCATTTTTGTTTTCGAAATTTGATCAGGACTTGCAAAATGTTGCGCCACAATTTTGGCGGGAAAAATATCGAAGATAAAATCTGCTCAAATTGTATTAAAACACCATTAGAGAAGTCGTTCATTTACAGTTGTTAACCTGCTCGAATGCTATTCTGTAAATTCAACTTGAACTTATCGACTACAGTCTGTCTTTAGGGTAACTTGTCAGAAATGATCACAGCCTGTCATTTCTACGCATATATTTAAATAATTACGATTTCGATTACGCTGACCTTCTAACTCAGTTGACGTACCTAGTTGAAGTTCAAGGGAATCCCATGTGACTTAAATTATGCACACGTTCAACCTAGAGGGAAAGGTATGTGCATAGCACATCGAAGTTATGCAAACATTAGGAATTCTCTTCATGAAAGCATTTTGACACACAAAATAAACGTTTTAAGAACGTTTTCATGACTTGAGTTATATTTTTGCGATCTTGGACTAAAATGGCCGTAAATGTGTTCACTTTCGAATTAGCAACGTGGTAAGTTCAAATTTGTGCTATTTCTACAACTGTCAAAATGGTAGCCAAGGATGGCTATATGTGATGCACTGCACATCAAATCTCGTGGTACACGAGAGTACACGTTTTTGAGAAGTTTCACGGATGTATTCAGAAACGTTTGCCATACACCGGGAAGATTACAGATTTTCTATAGCTTTGTGAAATATGATTTGTCAAACAAAAATGCATTTTGGCGATGCATTTTGGGTAATATATGAATGGTGATTCACTACAAATTCTTTGTCGTTATAAAGACTAAACTTGAATAATTGTGTCGGCTACATCGTAACATTTGTGACACGAAGCTTCCAATTGCGATTTATATAAATCCATAGTTCATGACGAAAATACTAAGTTTGTTTGTGTGCTAGTTGACAACTAATTAAACACTTTACTCCGATATGCGTGTGTCTACTGGTGGCCAGCGATAGAATACTTCATTAAGTCCGAGGGGTTGTGACAATGTGTCTGAGCGGCAGTGGCATTGTATATACGGATATAAAAACACTACAGTACAACAATACATGACATAAATAGCGATAGTCACATGCTTGCTAATTAACCTGTTCATTCAACCACAATAATCTACTAAATACGCAAAAAAACATCATTGACATGCACTCTGTGTATTGTCAAGTACGCTGACAGTTTGTGACGTATGATTCTCCCTACAAAAAGTGGACTCAACCAAAGATAATGTAGAGAGACTCTGAACATTTCTTTATCTGTGTGTTCAAAAGCAGGTTGACTTTGTGAGTTTCAATTTGCACGCCGAGGAAGTGAAGACCAAACCTAGCTGAGCTGGTAGCCAGGCACACACCAGTGACTGGATGCAATTCACCGGTTTCTGCAGGAAAGGACCGATTCTGAGCTGCAAGAAACTGGAAAAACACTGGTTTATGCTGGTGTGCCAGGATTGTCCGAAACGTTTCGCCTGACAGGTAAATATTCCAATTTGTTTGATCTTGTCATGACTGAGAAGAGAAAAATTGAACTTTGCTACCACAATGCTGAGACATGGAGTGCTAAGACATGTACAGTCTTATTTGGTTGAACTTGTAGGGCTGTTGTTTTGGCGCGAAAGTGGCAGACGACAAAATGTTGTTGGGCGAACAGCGAAACATCGGGACACTTACGAAGTGGTGTTAATATCGGATTGGGTCCATGCAGAAAGTTGTAATTTTGCTGTCAAAAATACATAACCGGTGTCTAATTGAACCAAACTTCGTAAATATTTGCCAAAAGAAACAAAACAAACAAACATGCTGATTATACAGGATAGTCCCCTAAAATTTAAACTTTCATTCCAACAAAAGGAAGATAAAATGATACAAATGAATGCATTTAAGAACAACGCGACAAAGTTGAAAAACTGAGATAAAATATTAATATTTTAATAATATTTATATCCACCCGACTGTACACTGTCGTTTTGATGTTCGCCTATCTAGCGTTGTATTTTATTGTGGGTCGGAAAACCCACCCAGATGTGAATTTAATAGTGGGAATTTATGCTTTACAATGCCGGTAGTACTGAATCTGTGGCGCGAGATTTTGGATTTCTAACCTTTCTGTGTCTAAGTAGCGACATTAAATGGGTTCCGTACATACGTCAAGTTGAGAGTACTGTCAACATCAATTTATTGTATAATGTTGAGGTAATACAATTAAAGATAATTTGCACTCCGGGGAATCTTCTCCACTTTTCACTCACCGCAGCCGCAAACCATTCACTGGTGACAATTTTAAAATATCAAATTACTTCTGCTTGTTTTTTTTATTTTTGTTATAAAAAAAAAAGTCACTACCAATAATATTGTACACTTTCAAAAAATTTAACAATGTCGTCGAAATTTGCAAAAAACTATTTTGGCGGGATAAGCTCATTTGAAAATTTTACCACTGTGACGACGCTCAATCCTTCAGTTTGAGCGCCACACATTTTCCCGCTAAAATTTTAGTGAAACATTCTGCCAAGTTTTAAACATTTTCTCATATTTTTTATCATTTTGGGTCAAGCAGACATGATGTTTTTATTACCAACAGTTCTTAATCAAAACTTTGGAAGAAAATCTGAAAAATGTAACATTTTTGTGTGTGAATGGTGATGAAAGTTGACTTTGGCGCTCAAACTGTTAACCGGAAGTAAAGAAGTAGGTAAAAAAGGTACAAATTAAATTATATTTCGAGATTTTGGAGAATGTAATAATGCAAAACGCTTCAAGAGCCAACTCCTCCGAGTCGACACTAACGTACGTGTAAAGTGTCGTCTGCTGAGGGTTCATTTAAGGAATTGTTATCACAAACTTAAAACCAGTAAGCGTGTATCACTTCGCGGAAAAGTACTAGTATATGTTCTTCTCCAAAATCATTGAAATTAGCATTTTAGAAGTATTTTTTTTAATTGCATCAAAAGTTCGAAACCAATCCTTCACAAGCCTCGCATGACCTTGTATGAAGTTAAAATGCTCGGTGTCTCCGAGGTGGCGTGCATTGATGAATATCGTTGTTGAACAACTAACTATTTGAGCTAACAAAACTGACTGGCCGGTAGCAGTAACATCCACTAAAAGCGAGCATTTACTCACTTTAAACTAAATTCATTAGCGCCAAAATACAAAAACATTAAAACATTTACCTAACGGTGAACAATAGTATATGACTCATGTAACCGATATAACAATTATTCAATAATTATTACTCCAGTGAATCTGTCAGTCCAACAAACACATCTTTGTTATGATTGAAGAAGAATCCGCTGCGTTATTATTTTCAAAATATTGTTTAATGAATGTATAATACTGCAATAGCAGTATATTTGTAATGTCAAATGAGTAAACACTTTATGATGACGTCGTAAATAACGTGTATTTATGATAATAATATTATGCAGCAAAAATAACAAATGAATTTGTTAGAACTAAAATTAATTTCTAGATGCATACGTAACATAAACATTCTAAAGTTTCATCACACATATAATCTTTTCATACAAAAATGCCATTTGGATCAGTGTTACATATGACCCTTTAAAGTAAAAGAAAAAAAATCACGTTTGGGACTAATGAACATAAAAATCAGACCTATTTCCGGACATACGATAATGGAGGAAATGTGACAGTGACCACTCGTGCTCGATGAGCTGCCTCAAAGCGTCTTCATCCAAAACGGCGGTTACCTAAAACCATTAGACCACATGTGAAAACATACTGGTCATAATATACTGAGAAAATTAATAACGATATTTTTGTTTGAATAAAAGGATTTCAAAAAAATCTACTCGATAGTATAAGATCGCCATCTAGAAAGGAAACGCGGCATAACGCAAATCGGATATACGTTGAGATATATTTGTTTAAAGGAAATGCTCCATCATAATATATAACACTGCTCAGGTTGAAACAGAGAAAATGACTACCGTAGATATGTGGCAGGTGGTATGAGATTAAATGGGGTGTGACGGTGTATGTTAGAAATATTATTTTTTTTAACGTTTATATACCTCATATATCGGGTAACAGTGTAAGCAGATACTACGTATACTTGTTTCACATTTCTAAAGATCAAAAGTTTCTCGATTCTAAATTTGTTTTAATATTAATTTAAAAAAAATATTTTTACCAAGCTATAGTTTTCCGTTCTAGTTACAAGCATTGTATAACTCAAAAACGTTGACGAAATTTATTATTTATACAATATTATGATCACTACGATAGTAACCTTATAATATAAAATACTAGTAACCCCGGGAGATAGAAGCTTGGATGAGCATTCTCACGTGAAACATTCCCATAGACCTTCGAATATCACTAGACAAATAAAATATCAATCATTCTAATAACTCTAATGTTTGTTTGTTGAGAAGTATCGATATAATCGTAAATGTGTTTGGTTTGAACTCTTACAGGTACAGCTTGGGTCAAATTAGGTTCGAGATGAACGATCCTCCACATAAAACTCTACCGGAACGGACAGTCCTCAACGAGGGCACGGAAGAGGAAATAGTAAGTAAACAGACGTTGTATGTAGTTAATAAATGTGACAAACAAAAGACTGACTCGTAGATATTTAGGAATACACACCACAGAGATGAATAACGAAGCTATGTTTTCGATTGTTCACGTCAAACTTTTGCTGATTGTGAATCATTTCAATAGAGATTGGTAACTTTATCTAGTGAATATCATTTGAGATCTCCGATCTCCGATCTCCGTCGTATTCACAGTATATCACGACTTCTTTTTTCTAACCCCACTCATAATTATATGCTGCTTATTGCCAATCATATTCCCATAATAGTAGAAATCTTCGATCGTTTAACACTCACAGAAATCATCACTGAGGTAGCAAACGTAGAAGATTGTTTTAACCCAGAGCAGACGATCAATAAAAGCGCGCCGAAATTTTCCAGCTCGCGACATTTTGGAAATCGTTAACGCGGCAATTTGTTATTTGTAACCGATGCATCAGTGCGTGCTGGTCGCGGCATCGTTTACTCAAACTAATGTCACGGTTAAAACAATCATCATGTTGGATTGATGTCACTGATCTTAGTCGGCACTCAGGTTAAATTTGTAAATTGACAACATTTTATTGTTTGTCTGGTGTGCTTATTGATTTTTACCATGCGTCACCGGAATAATGGGAGTTTTATTTCACGCTACTAAACCATCACGCGACGAATTTTATCATGAGTTGGGTTATATCAAATGTCGATGCACATCCCAACAAATTTGAATTCCCACAACAAAAAAAATGGTTTGTTGGTCAACGCGAGTATCAGTTCAAAGGGCCACAGCTAACTTCTGATTTCTAAAAAAAATCGCAGAAAATGACATAAAAATCGATTAACTTTGACAATAAAATAATGAGAAGGATGAATGATGTGATATTATAGCAAGTCTAGAAATAACATTTATTTATTGATCGAGTAAAAAGTTTGAGTAATAATCTCTAAGGATACGCTTTATTTAGCTCGTGTGATCGATAAAGCAATCACCGACCCGGTTTACATTGAATGACAGTGATACTAGTGTTGAACAAACAATTCCCAGTGGATGAATCAGCTTGCTAATCTGACGTCATTTAGTAACATATCAGAAGTACATCAACGTAGACAAGACATAATTGATCACATCATGTGGGATAATTTGTCTGTGTGCGTAATAACAATTCAACAATGACGGTCGGAACAGATCACATCCACGGATTTTGGAACTGGTGAGAACATTTCATATAAATAGATACATCTATTCTTCGAAACAGATACATAAACAAAAACAGAAACCATCACCATTACCACGATTGAATTATGAGTTAGCTGCAAACTTAAACAGTATTATTAACTCAGTACCATTTCAAAACACATCGGTCCAAAATTAATGAGGTATGCACTGTCCATGCAGCAAGTGGGAAAACACTTCTGAATAGCATCCATCGATGGGAAATTTAGTTTAGTTATAATATCGTTCATTTTAAATTGACGTTAATTTTACAAAGGAAACAAATCACCCATAGTCACCTCGTCGACTATATTCTAAATTTATCAAGATTATCTGATTTCAGATAATTAATCTCAAATATATCTAACATATTTGTTATATTATTTATGAAATTATATTCATCAAAGTAGTTAAATGTTATTTTCAAATTTCTTGATCTGCCGTGGTACATATGTGGAATTGTCAAAATCTCGCACATGCCAGCATACTTATGCAGCGTGTATCTATACACTGCCTATTTAATTACCATACTCCATAACTGCGTTACCGACACTGGTGATCTTCATCAATTCCTTTCAGTGATGCACTGATACTGCGTATTATTTGACTGAGTTTATCACGTATCGAGTGAGTGTTGCTGTATCTTTCCACGGCCTCACGAGAGACAAATCACCGGGGAGACTAGATTGAGTTTTCCCGCCATATGTGATCCGTGCTCCGTCGGCTTTGATGAAGTCAATTTCCAAATGAATGTTATTAGAAACGAGTGGACTAGGTTAATAGCACCGGAAAACAGTGCTGAGTTTGATACTATTCGATGTCGAACCAAATCTATTATCAATCGGAAACTCCCGAATTTATATGATTTAATTACAACCACATATCTTGATCACCAAACTTAACGGTACATTATTTAGACCTTGACTCATCAAAAAACATGATCTACATGGATAAATACAACTCTAATGTCTGTGTCGTTAGTAAATGCATCTCGCCTTAATGTATAACCTCGAATGGCGAACAATTTCCGATGCCCTGAAATCCCCTTACTAATCGCCAAAGCACTCAAGCATTTTGCTCCATTACATTCCCCCGCAGTATTGTAGCCAGTAACAGAAAATTCTATGTAGCGGAAGAACAAAGTATTTTGCTAGTATCTTGTAAAATAATTTCTGTGAAACTACTTTATTCTAGCTGGAATATTTGATGATAAGATATTTTGGCTGTTTTGTATGAAGTTTATTTTCACTGTTTTTAATGAATTGATCATGAAAAGTGAGAACAAATATTTTCACTGGAATTTATTTTATTTTATTCCTTCAGCGAAAATAAATTCCAAGTGAAAATATGTGTCTATAAAATTCTATGTACACTTGCAATGTTCAACAACGGGAATAATTAAAAAAAACTTCTGAAACCAAACTATCCTTACGTAAAGTATTACAAACATATTTAATGAAAACCATAACATAAAGTCCCGTTTCTCACAGTGATCACCTTAGTACAGTCCCAGTACAATTTACATGCAATGTATATATACATAAGTACACAACTTTAAAACTGACAACAAATAACATTTGGTTGAGGTGATATCAAAATTAAATACAAATAAGCAGGAAAACATCATGCACATACATTTAAACACTATAGGCGTGGTACGCCCTCAAACATCATGCACATACATTTAAACACTATAGGCGTGGTACGCCCTGAAACATCATGCACATACATTTAAACACTATAGGCGTGGTACGCCCTGAAACATCATGCACATACATTTAAACACTATAGGCGTGGTACGCCCTGAAACATCATGCACATACATTTAAACGCTATAGGCGTGGTACGCCCTGAAACATCATGCACATACATTTAAACACTATAGGCGTGGTACGCCCTGAAACGTCATGCACAATGATATACTTTCCATTCATGCTCTAAATTCTACCACTTAGTCGGTTGAAGTAAGTAATACACCTCCCCTATAAATTGAGCCTTCTAACGAGTTTCTGTGACGTAAACGACTGATACGAAAAGTCGTAACCGGTAACGTTTTCATCTGTAGTCGCTCATCAATGATGATTAGGTTTTTTGAGATTTTATTATATTGTAGAATGTGGACGACTGTGCAATTGAACACAGTGAACGATTTGAATGACATTGACCTCACTCATATACGGCATTGTGAGATTGTTGTTTACATATGCATTTGATGTATCCCTCTAAACAAGCTTTCAGAATATATGTATGAATTCTGACAATATAATCGCACTCACACAATGGCAAAATTAAACACTAATATGTAGATATTAAGATGATTATAACAGCGATTGAATGGAAAATTTAGTCTTCATTTTCTTCTTCAAGAACGGGAAGTTAAAGTATGATCATGCACTACGGGAGTAAAACACATTTGACCTTTTGCGCACTTCATTATAAAATAGTGTTAACGTACTTGAATATAAGTGAATCTGATGTTTTTTCGGATTTGTAGAAATTTTACAAAACAGAAGCATGTTGTTTTCGTATGTAAACGCCAAATTGACAGCTCAACAATTGCCCAAGATGGCGGTGATCGTTTGGTGAAGTTTTGTTAAAGGTTGATACATACGATTTTTTTTAAAAGTAACATTCACGAGGAGATGTAATAAAACATACAGCACTCTGGGACAAATGCCCATATTTGGAGAGTATTATGCATAATAATGATCTCCTTTGATTTTGATTTCAGGGATGTTACGGGTACAAACAGAGCGCGGGCAGAACGATATTGACATATCTTGGAATTTTCTGCAGCGGAGGTTTGCTGCTGCTCATATTTTATTGGAAGCCAGAATGGTCCCTGAAAGCACAGTACATCAGATGCTCACTACGAGAAGCAGAAGCCGTTCTTCTCAAGGTGAGAGCTTGGATTTAGTCTAAAAGTCAATCATTACCATTTTTCACAAAAAAATCGCATATGTTTTCAAAGATTTTGAACAAGGCCTATAGAAAATTTGAAATTATATCCATTTGATCCAAAATAAACATTAAAATTATTAGAAATTTATAAAAATGTGCAAAACGTATCATTCAAATTTTGGGCGGAATAATTCGAAGGGTTATATAAAGCTACACGTACAATTTTGAAAATATATCAATTCTTCCCTTATACTCCGGAACTGGAGATTTATCTTATTTGCCTACTATGATGCTAGCTTTACTGTGGACACCACAAGCCCATTTTTATAAACATTCATAATTGCAATGGCAGTGAATCCAACTAGCCAATGAACGATCGCAATAACGCTAATAACGTTCCAAGAAATTCCATCGGCCAAGAGAAACAATTCTTGATCCAGTTGTAAACTTAAATATTCATAGAAATCAGGTGAATGGATTTGTGATAGTAGTTTGCTTAAAATACTTCATATGTATTCAAAATGAGGTAATAAGATAATTCAAATCACGGAAACTGAAAACATGGAGCACCAATCACATACACATCATGGGGGTAAAACTCACTTACCATTCTGCAAGGCGTTTTAATGATTCAAAATAAAGTAAATAATTGTTCAAAACATGGGTTTTACAGCATATCTCGGCGGATACGGTATGTAAACCTACAAACGGAGCACCAAACAGCGCGTGATCTTTCCCTCTTTTAACAAACCCCTGTCAAGTGACGCGTCCCATGGGACAATGTGACTGTTGTATTCTCAGCGGCCTTCGACTGAGTAAGCGTTCCGTAGAGACTTCCCATTACAAACGTTGGCATTCATGCAAGAATACCGTATTAGAGATGCGGCTTTACCTCGTGTTAGATGGGATACACTTGGTTTATCCGACTAAACATTTACATAGTAGCCTGCACCTGATCCTGAAATACTTTGTAATCCTTGCGACACTAGACGAAAAAAAGCAGGACAGTGAGATTTGTCAGTCGCTGGTTCGTACATCTCTACTTAGTCATTTTATAATCGCTTACAAATTAGGTTTTATTCTCCATCCCTGGTGTTGGTAATTATAATTAAATCAGTTACAGTAACAAATGGTGTCAACTCTGCAGACTAACGTTAATATTAAAAATAAACCATATTATCCAATTCAAAATAGAGATTCATCAAACATGTTATCTTTGGCAATTGTGACGTATCAATATATATATAATTAAACTGAACTAATTATGGACAAAAACAAGTCTCGTGGTTCTCTCACTCTCAGCGAGATCTCGGTGACCATTCACGAATAATGTCACGGTCATAAACAACGCGAAAGCTGTTAAAAATATACTATATACAGAAATGGTAGGAGGAAACTATAGTACTTGGCCATTGCCCTAAATGTATAGATGTATTGAATGATTACTAAGGACTACAATTACCTAATATCACATATATTATCCAATAGTATGTACTTTACGTACTCGGAAACATTGCTTTTCGTAATAAAAGCATTTTGGCATGATATGATTTGGTTCAATTGAATCCCATGAAATCTGTTGTATTTCAGTCCCAAAATATGTAAGCATATTAATATTAATTATTTCCTAATTCAAGAAATATTTAATTATTTGTACATATAGCCATATGCCAATATACTAAATAAACTAAATTATTTAGTAATTATTAATTATAAAATTTAAAACCCTCCTGAATAGTTTGCAATTTGAAGTATCGGATATCAGTTGGAAACATTCTTGCATATTTCACCCATCACAGTCCACAATGATGTTTCATGAATTTGAAAACTTACTTATATAATATTTTTTGTTTCGACGATTTTATAAAGTGGCAAATTTTGCATAAAATATTCACGGCTTAGATAACACCTATATATTATTTGGTTTTGATTTTATTGGATGGAACAACTTCCATAATTCACAACATTTTTATCATCTGTATAAACTGTTCTGCGTCAAAATGTGAACTAACTTATTATAAATAGGACTTTATGGAAAAAGAGAAAAAAATTATAACCAACAACTGCGTTATTACGTAATGTTATATCATATACCTGCATAAATTAGTCATGTCATACTCAAAAATACAAAACACGGTTTATTACAATTGTCATTCACGACAAGTACACATTTCCGCGTGGAAAGGCAAGTCCGGATGGATATGAAAACCTCGCATCACGCTCTCCGAATGGAATCAATGAAATGTCCGCCTTCTGAATAATTCAGATTTTGTACATTTGTTAAAATGCCAGTTTGTTAATTTTTAATCGCAAGGCGAGTAGCGAGTAATTTACCGTGTAGCACACAGTGTTACGGGGGTACACCTTACTGAAATGAAATCGAATTTTGAACACAGGTGGGGACTTTCTAGCTGCGCGGAAGAACACACTTAGATTTGTTCGATGTTAGTGCGGAAGGATACTTTTAAAGTTACACAACGCCGGATGTTTCTGATATACGTTCAAAAAGTGGTAGATGTATCCACTAATCGGCGGAAATTGCTAAGATTGTTGTACGCCTTATACAGATTTCGCAAATACAGGAATCAGATCAGTCATATAAATTTAAACAATACGATTCACAACCCCCCCCCCCATTCATCAAAAGCCTGTTGTCAATATACATTCGTTCCACTACTCCTCCTCATTGGCCTATTTCATAACTATTGATAAGAAGCTAATTGTTATTCATATGTTTCATTTCATAGGATATATATAGAAGATGGCATACAGCCAAAGTGGAGAGAACAAACGTCGAACTCCCCGAGTAAGTTTCCACTCCAATCCTCAACAGTTTTAGTATGCCAATCATTTTAAAGCGCGGCATTTGAGTATTCTCTTTCTTGAAAGCAGCGGGCAGTAGGCATTAAAACAGCACATACTAAGATTGTCTCAGTGAAGTAGTATTTGAATCCAGTCTGTTTACATATGAAAAGAAACTTAACTTTGTACGTTTCTGCATTCCATGCGAATATTTCCTGCTTAAGAAATATTTATTTTAACTTGTGAAAATAAGAACATTATAATAAATACAATTCAAATAATTTTGCTCACTTTTTTGACCACACTTGGTATTTTCGTCTTCTCAAAAAATCTGCTTTTTGGTTGCTTTCACATGTCTAAAAAATAGTCGAAACTACTAATTTATTAGGAGAATATGTGATGCAAAATTTATTCACAGAGTTAACCATTTTTCGGACACTTGAGAGAATGTATGTTTTTCAATTGACTCACCATAAATATGCATAATATAATCAGACATGAGGTGGTAATATTCACACGAGAATTGCAAAGGCATTAACATTTCTACGAATAATTTGTGTTCGCAATCATTCTTCAGACGTCAGGAATGTTTGCAATTATAATTATCGCCTACATACATTACGGAAATTGAAGGCATTATCTGTACTAATTACTCGAGAATGGAATTTTATTTATGTAATTGAATCAATTAATGATTTTTACGCCATAAATGATAGACAATTGCGATTTAGTGCGTATTCCCAAAAGAGACGCTCTGGATTCTCGTGATAAATTGCAGACCACACATCGTGACTCGTCCTGTATCTATTTTTATACTTGACAGACAGATTGCTAACGACACTCAGACAAAACTTAAAATAACATATCAAAACAAACATACGTGCATACAAGGATAACGATATATACAACAGCATATATATCGGCTAATCAAAACAACAAGGTTGTGATGCTGCACATTACTATACCACAAATCCACCCGTCATGAATCAATTACGTCATAATCGGAAAGTAGTATACATTGCCTTACTATATGTTATCGTCTGCATTTTACATATTGCTTAAAACCAGGTTAACTAAACTCGTAAATTTAGCACATTTCATTTCATTTTGTGCCACGAATACATAAATAAACCACGATCATTCAAATATTACATCGACAAACGAATGAATCATAATGATACTTCCGTTGAATGTTGTTTCCTTCCTCCAGTTATGTAAAATATTAATCTTTTGCTAAATTTAAACAGGAAGGTATCGTATAGTCTGTAATGCAACAATCACTTCTCTGCAGTTATTGCATTTGTGAATAATTAAAAAGGAGTTGGTTAAGTTTGATGAGACTGTGAACCTGATTTTCGTTTCGTTTTCAGCCAATGTTATAAAATCTGTTTTTAGCCAGTGTTTCAATAATAAAAACAAAGAAACCTGTTGAAAGTACTGAACTGCTGACTCGACGTCTAGTTAGAATAGAATAGTCATTGACATTCGCAAGATATCCGATTTGCATAACGCAATTTGGGGCAAATTCAAATGTTTTACTACCGAACATACATGCAATGCATTATGGTAAACGGCTTTCCATTCAATATCATAAAAAACTATTCCACTGGACAATCACTAACATAAATGTCAATTTTTGAAACGTTTTCAC